TTTATTTAGAGAGCGTGACACGTGACAGTCTGAAAGATTGTATCATGAAGATTCTTGTCTTCATAAAATGAATGAATAAATCAATTTTATTTAGAGAGCGTGACACGCGAGAGTCGAGAAGGCTGCAGCAAAAATTTCTTGTTTTCGAGAATAAATCAACCTTATTTAAAAAACGTGACAGTTTGAAAGATTGCAGGAAAAAATTGTTGTCTTCATATAATTAATGAATAAATAAATCAACTTTACTTAGAGAGCGTGACTGACAGTCGCAACTGATAAAATTGTGGCCCTTTTTAACGTTTCTTTAATGAGACGGGACCGCCATTTTTACGTGGTGATCCGAGCCACAATGAAGGTGTAACCATTTGCAGATATTTTTGGAACAAAGGCAACAGCTACTCAGACCCTGAGTGCTGGTCCGGCAGCGGCCATGATACGGAAGAGAATAACACGTGGTCTAAAATGAGAAACATTACAGCCAAACAAAAAATGTATGTGATAAACAAAGAAATGATACTCGAGAGAATGCGTGGTCAATATATGTGATAGACAAAAATAATGATACTGAAGCGAAAGGCACTTGGTCTTTAATGAGAAACATGAAGGCTAAAATTGTGATAAATCAAGAAATGATACTCAAGAGAATGACACATGGTCTAATGAGAAAACATTACGCCCTAGCTGAAGTACTTCTGTCTCAATTTCTAGATAAGATAGTTTTTTATCAGTGAGAATTAACTGTAAAGAACTCTTAAAATATCCCAACTTAATAAATGATTACACTTGAATGAAATTAATTCCGCTCTTAAAACATTTGCGCATTTATTGCGTGTTTTATAAAAAAACAGGTTGCTATAGCAACAGTCTCGTCATGCCACTGGAACGATCAACCAAGATAAGAACTAAGCTACAAAATTTTGGATTCATGTTTTCTGTTTTAAAAAAGCCAATTTCATCTTGCATACTACGAATCGAAATATGACGACCAATTTGAATAACTATTGTTCTTCACTGACTAGCGACTGACTAGCCTCGTGTTCACGTGAAAAAACATAAAAAGGTTTTCATTCAGTCGCTAGTCAGTGAAGAGCAATATTTATTCACATTAGGCGCCATATTTCGATTCGGTGTACACAGGCGAATAGACCTCCTGGTATTGTTTTCCTTTTCGAGTTTTTCAAGATGTCTTGATAAAAACAATGTTGTATCATAAGCAACAAATTACATGGAAACTAAGTTTCCATAGCAACCGTTAGTCTTAGTAACGATGACAACTACTATGACTTGACGTTAGGTCATGTCATATTACATGGAAATAAATTTTGTTAAATGTTTCACATCACAATAGCATAGAACGTTTTAGCTTCTCTGCAGAACATTTACTCCCAACTTTTTTTTTTTTTTGGCTGAAGGAACGACGTTTTGGGCCCTTAACTACAAGGTAATGAAACTTACAAACTTGGGTAAAACTTAATGTAGTTTTTCGTTTTTCGTTACATTAAAAACATAGTATAAACCAGCTTGCCTTATTTTACGTAGTCAAACGTTGAACTCTCAAAGCTGTTTTAAAATAGTATCATGGGGCTTACTGAACTCAAACATCGGGGACCAAATGTAAGCTGAGCTTTTGCCGCGTAGATTTCACTTCTCCTAAAAAAAAAAAATCAGTGTAAATTGAGTGCATAGTTTTAACGTTTTTTGTTTGTTTTCAGTTGGGTGTTTTTATCAGTAGGGGACCTTGTGTTCTATTGCAATTTCACCTGCCCATTGGCGAATCAGTAAATCAAATTATGTAAAATGAATGAATGAATGGAATGAATGAATGAATGAATGAATGAAAGCAATATATGACTCTAACACCTGTTATCAGCCAATTAGACAACACCTGTTATCAGCCAATTAGACAACACCTGGTATCAGCCAATCAAACAACACCTTTGTATCAGCCAATCAGACAACACCTATTATCAGCCAATCAGACAACGTCTGGTATCAGCCGATCAGACAACACCTGTTATCAGCCAATCAGACAACACCTGTTACCAGCCAATCAGACAACACCGACGACTAGTATACTAAATGAGCGGTAATTAGCCAAATCCATGAAGGACCGAGTCGAATGTATCATCATTAATATCAACACTACATAATTTCATTAAATTCACAGACGAAAACTCTAGTCAATATTGGTTCAAGTCGTCACATCAAGTCTGTCCTTGACTAACTACTTCATTATGGCCGTCATAAGGATTCTAAATAGAAGATTAACTTTTCCAATAGCTCTGGTTTTCAACATCTGCTTTAGTGGTAAGTCATAAAACCAACGTTCATATTCCTGGAATATGAATACTAATTCCAGGAACGTGCGTCAAATATACTGTAACCAAAGATATCTATGTCGTACGTTAAGTAGATTGAAAGAGACATTTTTAAATGAGGTCAATTTAAATAAGACTAAACATCTATGGCAATTTTACATGGACATTTTTGGTACAAGAATTGGTTTGTCAGGAACGTGCCATTTCAAGGAATAAAATAATTCATTTTAAAAATGTAACTGAATATGAAGACTGTTTATGAGCCCTTAATATATTAAAAAAGTGACTTAACATACTTAATAATATAATGCTTTATATATTTGTTATATAAAATATATACTGCACGACAACGATTGCTCTTAGGGATTGCTCATAATGGGCAAGAATGCATTAGCCAGTGCATAACCTATATTACAATTCACAGATGGAATTGTAATATAGCTTAGGTTTAGTAGTCTAGCGAATCGAGTGCAAGCAAGCAAGCAAGAAAATAAAAAAAAAGAGAAGAAAAAAGAGATAAATAAAAACAAAGAAAAAACCCAGGTGTTTAGCAATCTCATGCACATAGTCGAACTCCTTTCAATGTTGAATTATATACTTCAATTAATACCCTATTTTACTTAAATACGAATGCTATTCAACTTAAATTCAAAGAAGGTGACGAGAGCGGCGGGCTTTACAGAACAGTATTCAGATTACGTTTATTTTCTTCTTTCATTATCGTACTTAATGAAACAACAGATGGTGAAGTTCAAACATTTTCAACAATAGAAACATTTCTCTTGAATCTAGTTAGGCATATAATGATTCTTCTGAAATTTGGCTCGCAACTTTTTAAAGTCGGTACGACCAGATATAGTGTATAATGTATTTTAGTGTTCAGTAAACGAAAAAAGGATTACGTTATCTATGTAGGGTTGTTTAATAAACTAAACTCGTGCCTAAGATGAATACGTGTTGCTAAGATAAAGAAAACACTGGACTTTGTTCGTTCGTTTTTATAGCGGATGAAGTAAGATTTGGTTGATGCCAAACGTTTTCATGACTATTTAAACACAAACCAACTAAGCCACACTTGCTCCTTGAAACAAGTGTATGAGGTCACTGAAGATCAAACTATGGACCTCTTGCTTAGCAGGCAGCACACTAACTAACCAAGCCACACTTACTCATTGAAACAGGTGTGTGAGGTCAGTGAGGATCAAACTATGGACCTCTTGCCTAGCAGGCAGTACACTAACCAACCAAGCCACACTTGCTCCTTAAAACAGGTGTGTGAGGTTAGTGAGGATCAAACTATGGACCTCTTGCTTTGCAGGCAGCACACTAACCAACCAAGCCACACTTGCTTCTTAAAACAAGTGTGTGAGGTCACTGAGGATCATACTATGGACCTCTTGCATATTAAACAACAGACCAAACTTGCTCCTTGAAACATGTGTGTGGGGTCACTGAAGATCAAAAAAAAAAAAAAGCTGCAGCCTTTTCGCGTATTTGCCAGGCTGGGTACACTGAAAGCTTAATATACTGAGGATTCATGCCTACGTATACAAGTAATAAAACTGATCTTTGTTAATGTTAAGGTATGATTGCCAGTTTGCAATCCAAGACGATATACGATGATGATGAGGACCGTCTCCTGAAAAGAGTATTTCAGCGGTATAACCCTGAACTACGGCCTGTCATCGATAAAAGAGACAAGATAATGGTCACGTTTGGAATCTCCTTGCATCAGATAATAGATATGGTTGGTATCTGAACAACAGAACATTGTAATAAAAATTACTGATTATCGAACTGAATTCTCTACAATATTCTTGTTGCAGCACGAAAAGAATCAAATACTCAAAACAAGTCTATGGGTTCGACAAGTAGGTCTCTTTAGTAACAATGACGACTGACCATTATTACCTTGTCCTCCATCATTATCATCATCATCACTATCGTCATGACCATCATCACCATCACCATCACCATCACCATCACCATTATCGTCATAACCATCATCATCACCATCACCATCACCATCACCATCACCATCACCATCACCACCACCATCACCATCACCATCACCATCAGCACCACCGTCGTCATCATCATCATCACCATCGTCATCATCATCACCATCACCATCTTTATCACTCACTTTTCCACATTCATGAGACTCACAATTGATGAGCTACATTTCTGGTTTGCAGAAATGGCACAACCCTTTTCTCTCGTGGAACTCCTCAGAGTTCGGTGGAATACAAGAAATAAATGTGGACCAGTCAAAAGTCTGGAAGCCTGACATCTACTTATATAACAAGTAAGATGCTTTGTATTACTGGTAATTCTCTAATTTAAGGGTAGTCCAGATTTTATAATTTTGGTCCCAGTGATGCCTTCAGCAAAAATAGTATATTACAAAAACGTCAATCATCTCGGTCTGATGAACATGATGACTTTGAGAATGAGAACGTGAGAGAAATTGAAGGAGAAACAAGCTGGAAACCAGTATTCATAATTAATTTGGTCATCCCCTATTGATGGGTTTCACGTCGGCCATGTTGGAGAATATTGGAGGATGTTGATAAATGATGATAATAATTATGCTAACGTTGATGATGATTTTGATGTTAATGATGCTGCTGCTAATGATGATGATGACGATGACGTTGATGATGGCGTTGATGCTGATGTTGATGATCATAATCATGGTGGTGAAAATAATGATAATACATGATGCATGATGGGTATAATTTCTTTTTAAGCGACATTCCTCAGAACCTACCACAGGGTTCCCGAGGATGAAATTTAGTTTGGTTCACACGAAACAAGCTCAAGGCTGATTAGTTAGTTTTATTTCAGTGCCGACGAAAGAGTTGATGGAGCTCTTGATCGGTTCAAGACCAAGATAGTGGTCAGCTCGAATGGCCTATGTAAATGGCTGGCTCCAATTATCATATCAAGTTCGTGTAAGATTGACGTGAAATATTTTCCATTTGACAAACAGGTAATAGTGGAATAATAAGGGCTTATGAGCACCTGAAACTTTGGGGATGGGAGAAAACATATCATCCATCAACCATAGATTATTAATTATTTTATGCATCACTATTTCCTTTCTTGCTTCCTTCGTTTCTCTCATCCTTACTTGCTTGCTTCCTTTCTTCCTTCCATGCTTCCATTCATCCATCCATCCATCCATCCATCCATCCATCCATCCATCCATCCAACCCTCCATCCATCCATCCATCCATCCATCCTTTCTACCTTCCTTCTTCCCTTCCTTCCTCGCTTCTTTGTCTATTTGCTTCCATCCTTGCTTTCATCCTTTTCCATTGCCTGCTTGCTGGCTTCCATTCTTTCATTCATCTACCTCTTCGTCTGTCCACCCATACACCAATGCATTCCCCGCCACTTCACTCACATTACACTTGTCAAAATCTCAATAATCTGAATCACAGATCATCTAGTGTCTCCCAACATATTCTAGACTTTCGCAAAGTCCACCGCCCTTAATAAGAACTCCTCGGGAGATAAGAGGAGACGACTTGGGGCAAGTCTAGACGCACTCATTTAACCATAAATGACCTATTTTAGGCTTGCATACTTAAGTTTGGTTCCTGGACATACGATGGTTTCAAACTCGATATAATCCAGGAAGGTCCATTTGCAGACACCAAGAAGTTCGTTAAGAACGGAGAATGGGACTTAGTTGACTTTCCCGCGAAAAGAAACGAGTTGTACTACGTCTGCTGCAAGGAGCCGTACCCTGATGTCACCTATACCCTCAACATCAGAAGAAAACCCACTTATTATTACATCAACATTATCATACCATGTTTGGTCATAACAGGTAAGGTCACGTGACAGTAAGATGAAGTCTGGCGCGAATGGTAGAAAAGATGAGAACATTGCTATGAAAATACTTGTTAACAAAGTACTGTCTTTGTATCTATCTATCACTGGGTTTCAATCAGCTGATAAGTCTTTGAATCTCATTATTTGGTCCAAACACTGACCACCATGTGCTGTTAACCAGAGAGAATTCTATTGAAAACTTGTGATTCAGCTGATGAACATTCCGCACGAGACAGGGAATGATGTCAAGTGAAACCCGGCGATTATTTTTATTGATTGATTATTAATGATAAATATCAAATACTATTTATTATTATCTATATCCTTTGGACTAATAGAGATATAATAATTTGAACAATACTAAAAGAATACTGAAGCAAATTAACTTACCCAAAGTGAATTCACTTCTCAGGTACATGGTCTCCCCTGCATAGCACTCCTCACTATTCATCATCGAAACTTAAATAGTCTTGAAGTTATTGCTAAACAGCTTGACGTGATTACCAACAGCTATCTGTTTCGTTACTCATTCTTGCTTGGCTACTTCCATGTTTTTGCTCTTGCCTGAAAATGTAGAGAAAACATGATTTAGTTTTTTATCGCTGTTCAATTTTTTCCCCTTTGCAGCACTCACGTTATTATCGTTTTATCTTCCACCCGACTCGGGAGAAAGAATCACATTAGTCATCACGAACTTGTTGGCATTGACTGTGTTTATGCTACTCGTAGCAGAGATTATGCCTTCTACCTCCGAAGTGGTGCCCCTTATAAGTATATACTACACATGTACCATCATGGAGGTAAGTTGATGAGGCTGATGCTGATGTTGCTGTTGTTAAGAGGGTGCCTCTTATAAGTATATACTACACATGTACCATCATGGAGGTGAGTTGTTGATGCTATTGTCGATGATGATGCTGTCGTTGATGATGCTGATGTTGATGATGCTG